TGTAAATAAATAAATACATAAGTAAAAATATATAAAAAAATTTATATAAAAAAAAATTAAAAAATAAATAAATAATTAAAAAATTAAATAAATAAATTAATAAATAAATATATGAATAAAAAAATAAATAAAAATTAAAAGAAGTAAATAAATAAATTAATTAATAAATAAATAAATAAATAAATACATAAATATAAAAAAAAAATCAATTAACCAATAAATATTTTAAAAACATCAAAAAATTGCTAAATAAATAAGTGAATAAGTAAATAAATAAATAAATAAAAAAACATAAAAAGAATAAATAAATAAATGAATAAATAAATTAAAAAATAAATAAATTAATAAATAAATTACTAACTAAAACAATTGATAAATAAATTAATTAATAAATAAATTACTAACTAAAACAATTGATAAATAAATAAATTAATAAATAAATGAATGGATTAATAAATAAATAAATAAATAGATAATTAAATACTTAGGAATAAATAAATAAATAAATAAAAATAATAAATCAATCAATAAATAAATAAAAAAAAAAAAAAATAATTAATAAATAAATAAAATAATAAATGAGTAAACAAAAAAATAAATAAATAAATAAATAAATAAATTAATAAATTAATAAAAAAAAAAAATAAATAAATGAATAAATAAATAATAAATAAATAAATAAATAAATAAATAAATAAATATATAAATAAATAAATAGATAAATAAATAAATTTAAAAAATAAATAAATTAATAAATTAATAAATTAATAAAACGAAATAAATAAATAAATAAATTAATTAAAAAATAAATAAATAAAAACATAAAAATTAAAAAAACAATAAATTAATAACTTAACCAATAAATATTTGAAAAACATAAAAAAAATTGCTAAATAAATAAGTGAATAAGTGACTAAATAAAAAAAAATAAAAAAAAATAAGTAAATTAATAAATAAATAAATAAATAAATTAATAAATAAATTAATGAAAAAATAAATAAATAAATAAGTAAATAAATAAATAAATAAATAAATAAATAAATAATTGAATAAATACATAAATATATAAAAAAATAAATAAATAAATAAATAAAAAAAATAAATAAATACATAAATAAAAATAAATAAAAAAAATTATTTAAAAAAAAATTAAAAAATAAATAAATAAATAAAAAATTAAATAAATAAATTAATAAATAAATATATGAATGTAAAAAAAATAAATAGATTAAAAGAAGTAAATAAATAAATTAATTAATAAATAAATAAATAAATAAATACATATATATAAAAAATAATAATCACTTAACCAATAAATATTTTAAAAACATCCAAAAATTGCTAAATAAATAAGTGAATAAGTAAATAAATAAAAAAATAAAAAAAAATAAAAAGAATAAATAAATAAATGAATAAATAAATTAAAAAATAAATAAATTAATAAATAAATTACTAAATAAATCAATTGATAAATAAATTAATTAATAAATAAATAAATGGATTAATAAATAAATAAATAAATAGATAATTAAATAATTAGGAATAAATAAATAAATAAATAAATATAATAAATCAATCAATAAATAAATAAAAAAAAATAAATAAATAAATAAATAAATTAATAAAAAAAATAATAAATGAGTTAACAAAAAAATAAATAAATAAATAAATAAATAAATAAATTAATAAAAAAATAATGAATAAATAAATGATAAATAAATAATAAATAAATAAATAAATAAATAAATAAATAAATAAATATATAAATAAATAAATAGATCAATAAATAAATTTAGAAAATAAATAAATTAATAAATAAATAAATAAATAAAACGAAATAAATAAATAAATAAATTAATTAAAAAATTAATAAATAAATACATAAAAATTAAAAAAAAACAATAAATTAATAACTTAACCAATAAATATTTGAAAAACATAAAAAAAATTGCTAAATAAATAAGTGAATAAGTAAATAAATAAAAAAAAAATAAATAAAAAAAAATAAGTAAATAAATATATAAATAAATAAATAAATTAATAAATAAATTAATATATAAATAAATAAATACATAAATAATAAAATAATTTAAACTAAATAAATAAAAATAATAAATCAATCAATAAACTAATAAACAAATAAATAAATAAATAAATAAATAAATATATAAATCAACCAATCAATCAATCAATCAATCAATAAATAAATAAATAAATTTATAAATAAATAAATAAATAAATAAGCAAATAAATAAATAAATACATAAAAGAATAACGCAGATAAGAGAGTGAGTGCCTCGTCTATATCCATCTTAATCTCTCGGTTATCCTGCAGAGCCGAATCTGCTGATCATCTCCCTTAGTAAGCGTACAAACGATCCATTGAAGGACAGTCGAAACTGGGTCACCGGCAAAAACGCTGGGCATTGAGCCCACGCAATTGAAATTTGCTTAGGAGTTATGATGAAATATATGTTTAAGCGTGCGTGAATTTTTCCTGGATATGGAAAAAAAAGTTATTTTATTCTAATGCCGCAAAGGACAATTTTGAGGAAGGTACGAATCGGGTTGATCATCCCCTTTACCAAACTCCCTCGTTGGCTTTTGCAGAATCGTGAGTGAGCATCCATCAAGCATGTCCACAATATGGGTATTTTCGGAACGGTGATGACATGTAGCAGCCAAAAACCCATATCCGAAGCCATTTTGGTGGCTCTTAGTTTTCAAAAATCTAATACCCTACAAAAAGTCAAATACCCTACAATTGACGGAAAATCGATTTGCGATTTGTTTCCAAAATGATGTCAGTCATTTTTGGCATCTAAATGTCGTCCCGTTCCGAAAATAACCATTATGTAGGGTTTTTGACAGTTTTTTTTTTCTGTAATCAATACCCGCAAATTGGTTTCCAAAATCCCGTCGGACATCAATTTTTGACGTCTACACGTTCCAGAAATATACATATTGTACTGTATTTGAAAGTTTTCTGGTATAAATTGCTGTCATCATAGATTTCCAAATGGCGTCAAAAGACGGTCAAAAGTAATTATCTCGTGAATCTTGTATTTAAGACTAGTGGTGTCTTTTGGAGAGATTCTAGATATGAAAAGCTCGTTCTTTTTACATTAACAGATCAATGATTAATCCCCCTAGAAGTGAGATCCAAATATATTTTTTCATAAATTTCATATTCAGGATCGCTGTTTTAGGTAAAGTTTTAGAATGTATCAAAACATGATACTTTGCTGAAGACACTAGGTGTCAATTTCTTTCTCATTGAAATATGGAACGATTCTCGTGATAGAAGTTTTATAATAATTTTATACAAACTTCTACTGATTTGAAATGTTCTTCAAAGTTGTTCAAAACATCAATGTACATCAATAATATTATAGACCATTATTTAGATAGCAAAATAAGATAGTTATTATTAATTTAGCTGAAAAATCCAGTGGTGGCGGGAGGGGGAAAATACCCCTCTCCAATGGGGGAGTTTGGTAAAGAGAGATGATCAAACCGATTTGTACCTTCCTAAAGTTGTCCTTGCTCGCTTTCTACTCTCTATATGCAATTTTCACACTGTTTTACTCTAACGGAACTATCAACTCTATACTTTCATCTCTTCATCTATTTTATAAAAAAAAATTACCACTTTAGTCTGTTATTTCAAATTAGCATCTTCAACTATGAAAAATAATAATTGTTTCAGAGTTGGTTGAAAATGCTATCTAACATGAAACTTTACTGTGATAGTTTATTAGCTAGGGAAAGGTTTCTCGATTTTCTATTCAGTTCACTCAAGTTGTACAAAGTTGGCTGAACTACTATAAATTTTTGTTGTTCGAATTTTTAAGAAATCTCGTTTATTTTCTGATTTATTATTCTAAATTAATTTTTTTTAAGAAGTGCTATTGATAGAGTTCATTAACTTCACTGAAGTTTCCCAAAACTACATGCTACTTTTACGCCCAAGCAACACACAAGCTGTATATTAATTCATATAACTGTTATATGACAGGTTTTGGTTGTGAAGAAGTTTACTCATCATGCATGCATAGGGCTGTGTTACCTGGGCGAATTCTCAAAAAAAAGATAAATCAAAGCTCTCCTAATTTATATTAGATTTCAAGCATTCCTGCGATTTCACTTGAACATCTCCAACGCCACTAAAGTTTAAAGAAACTCAAAGAAAGTAAAGAAAAATGCCAAAACTTTAACGAGCTTCCCCAAATTTCTAAAGATTTCTATAACGTTTGATGAAGTTCGTTGAGCTTTTACAATAATAGCTGAACTCCTATTAAATGTATTGCAATTCTGCTATGACATTTCTGAAAATTTACGAAGTTTCTTGAAGTTATATAACATTCCCAACAATCTAGGAAGTGACCTAACATCAATCTCTTAAGTCATAGCTTCTACTAATTTTAATTGATTTCTAAGAAGGACCCTGAATTTCTGAAAAACTCTGTTTGAAAAAATTGAAACAGTGCACATCTTTCGTCACCCATATTTTTTAAATGTAGATTCCCCCATACTACCGATGTTTTATGGTTTATGTCTCGTCAGCTAGGGCCATGTCCCCCCTAGCCCACCACCGCCTATGCGACTATTGGATTAATGCTTGCTGCAAAAGTGATTGTAATTCAGTTTAACGTAGTTCGTATGTTTACGAAATTGTTTAAAACCGCCAAAACACTATAATTTAATCGGTTCATGGCTTCTGCATTTTCTAAAAATTATAAAAAATGGGAACTCAGGAAACAAACATCGGATAACGCAAATAACTTTCAACTATTTATTTCATATTTCAAAATATTGCACAAGCAATCGAAAAAAAAAATGAACATTGGTAGTTTTCCTTATACAAATAAATATCACTAGCACTATTTGGAATAAAAATTGTAATCTATATACACAATACAAGTGAACCGCTTTGTGCATTTGTTTCGTCTATTCTGTGTTTTGTATCGAAATTTGGCAATTTAGTTTTTGGCACGCACACAACCCTTTCCGAGCTAACAATAATGCATTCACGAATGTTGGCGAATATCAACACCTATTGAAGTCTTTTTCTTCAACTGGGGAATTATTTCCAAATTCCGAAGTCACGCTTTTGATTTGCCTTATCGCACAGCTATGACCTTCCATCGGAGGGCAAAGTAGCACAGCACGCGAACCAGCACCAACGTTCCGGTCAGGGCGTAGACGTCCTTCCAGAACTGATCGCCTTCCATCGCGATCTCAGAGAGGAACTTTGCGGGGTACCTGAAATGAGGTGAATCTTTCCGTTAGCAATGGTCAAGGATTTTGATCCAGATGATCCCACCTGTAATGGCAGTACGGTTTCAGCTCGCAGTCCATCGTCGCTCGGTTTTCGCCGTAGATCGCATTGACGTATCCCTCCAAGCCGTACCGCAGATAGGAGATGTGCGAACCCCACTTGAGATAACCCGGCAGATCTCGCAACGTGACACCGAAGCCAGCGAACATCATCATCGGGATAGACAGCACGGGGCCGAGGAAGGTGCCATTCTGACGTAGCGAAAAACAAATAATTATAAAACAGAAAGTGCAAATTGTGCGAATTGTTGGAGTGGTGATAATGTGGTTTGAACTATATTTCTCATGATCACTAACTAATGGTTATTGCCAACTGAATGCTAATTGGAGGCATTGATTGATTTAATGGCTGTCAAACAACTCAAATGAGATTATCTGTTGCTAGAAGGGTTTTCTGAAACCATCGGTCATTAGCAATTTAGTTTTACCCACAGTGTAATCTTTTCAAGTGCTCCAAGTTTTTGATCATGCAAAATAGAAGGCACTACTTACCACTACATTGAACCAGGTGCCGATGGTCAGCCCGATACCCTGCGCTATGAGCACGATGAGGAAACTAATTGTGAAGAACATTCCAAATCGGAACCACTCCATTGGCTGACCACTCATAAAGTAGATGATACAGGTGAACAGCAAGCAGCAGAAGAACTGTTGGAAAATCAAAATTTGTTTGAGTAATCACGGCAAATGGAACGAAAATGCAACTCACCGACAGAGGTAGATCAATTATATTCACAGACAGGTAGTAGCTCTTCAGTGAGTACCATCGATTGAAATGCTCCTTCAGAATGACTCCCATCTCGGTGGGGACTGTTAAAAAGAATGATTCGTCGAATTCAGTTCCAACTTTAGCCTCCCACTTCAATGACCCAGAAACTTACACGTTAATACCGTTAACATCATCGTCGCCATCATGTGGTGCATCAGGATCGAGAACAGCAAATTGTAGTTGTCCAGCACTCGCGATCCCTCGTTACCGGCATCGATGAACAAAAACCCAAGCATTAAAGCGATACTGATGTTGACTCCGATGCGCAAATGTGTCAGCGTTGCATCCCGTTTCGCTTTAATTATCCCTCGCTTGATGAGAACCTCCAGCTGGTGCCATTGCGAAGTGGCATGCATGTCCTCGTGCTGCTCGATGACTTTCTTCAGTGGATACTTCTTCCGGAGTTGTTCCAACTTGAGCACTTTCCGCCTGTCACTGAACCATTCCGTACTTTCACCGTTGCCCATTTCCATCACCATGGTTTGAACCTTCTCCAGGCCATGTTCGCCGCAGGCCAGCTCGATCGCTGCAATTATCGAACGCGAATTAGAATTGATCAGTTTCGATCTCTTGAAAAACTTACCGTAATCAGCAGGGTTGTGATACACCGGACAAGGCATGTCCACCGATTGCAGGAACGGCACTAGGTTGGTGGTGCAGCCCTGGTACATGCACTCGCCGTTGGACAGGACATAAACCTGGTCGAATTCCTGGAACAGTTTGGCCGATGGTTGATGGATAGTACAGATAATCGTGCGGCCCTGTTTGGCTAGCTGTTTCAGAAGGTCCACCACCTGATTGCAGGAGAAGCTGTCGAGGCCACTGCAAATGAAATGACGATTGATTTTCTCCGATTTAAAAACAAAATTGGAAGGTTAAGATGGATCTTACGTGGTGGGTTCGTCCAAGAACATGATCGTCGGGTTGTTGATCAACTCCAGAGCGATCGACAGTCGTTTCCTCTGACCGCCCGATAACCGACTAGTGATTGTGTCCTGGTGCTCGTACAAGCCCAAAACCGTCAGGATGTCCTCGATCTGTAGTAAGAATAGGATGTTGTATAAAATGCTTTATGCAAGTGGTCACCGAAATTCGGAAGTTCTGATTATGTATTTTTCCAGTCAAGGGGCCGTTTAAACTACATGGCTTTCGTTCAATACACCCAGCTACTTACAATCGACTCCTTCTCGTGCTTGGAAACCTCTGGACCCAGTTTCAAGTCCGCAGCTATCCGCATGTTCTCCAGCACCGTCAACAGCGTCTGCAGTTGATCATCTTGCGTTATGTAGCAGGTCATCCGCCGAAAGCTGTTCAAATTCCTAATGCGCCCGTTGACGTAAACCGCTCCCTCGACACCGGTCCGTCTGTAGCCGGACAGCACATCCAACAGGGTGGACTTTCCCGCCCCCGATGGTCCCATGATGGCAATGAGCTGCGATCCCGGAAACCTTCCATTGACTGTATGGAGGATCTCTTTTTGGCCTGAAACGATTCAGAAGCAAAGATGGATGTTAAAACCATGCGAGCAATCAATTCCGTCATCCATATCTTATCAATATTCGACTGCAATAGATTGAAAATGAAATTGCACTTTACATTCAATGGGGGAGCAGTGGCAGCTGATGTAGCTTAACAGAAATTCAAAGGTCGTTTCTACGAGGGGACTTCAACCGGTCAACTCGAATGGTTTATTAAGAAATAGTTTACAAATTTCACAACGCGATAAGAACGGTTGTAAATAGAGAACTTGCATCCGGGACCGGCCCTTTTTTTTCAGCCTTCAATTCGCAATCGCTCAAAAGTAGACTTTGAGCTAAGTTTTCCATCGAGAACAGTTCTTACAAAACAGAACTATCAGACCCCGATAGTAAGTTCAAGTGTGTTTGCGTTGAGCCGTACCACATTAACACTTGCCTAGGGGGGGTTTATTGTTCGATGATAAGCTTCAGAATTGTTTAGTTTCAACTAGTGAAAAATAACTTGTTTTGGTCACATTCAATTCCATAGTAAACACTTTCCACTTGGACAAACATATTTTGCAAGGGAAATAACAAAATCAAGCACCCGTAAGGCCTTGAGGCATTATTAAACAGTCAATGAATCCTGAACGGTTTGCCGAAAAAAAAATCAACCCTTATCAGCAAATCATTTCAAATCTTATCGTGACGTGCATGTTACCTTATAAAAATTAAACAATTGCGCCAAAGCTTACCTCTCTCGAGCCATTTGCCACCTGCCTCCTTCGAGGAAATCTATCAAGATTAGGTAAGTTCCTTTCATATCGTAGTTGGTTTGTTCGGTCAATAGCTCGCAGATGACGTGTTGCGGTACCAAAGGTTGATTTGTGGCGTCTTATCGCCGGCGTCGTCGTAGGTGGATAGAGGCGTGCTTCTCTGTACTTGAGTGAAGCAATGAGGATTTATTGCGTGGCCCGTTGCGTCGGACTTTGGTAGGAAATTCCTGGATTCGAACTAGAGCAGTGATTGATTTCCCAATTGGACGTCACAATTACCACATAATGGTGCGATTCAGCATGTGCCTGATTAGCTGTCCTTCAAACGGTGGGAAGGCAACTCGATTACGATTTTTAACGCTTGAAAATCACCTACTTATTAGCTATTTTACAGCGAGCGTGATGAGAGGTTTGGTGCACTGCCATTATGCGCCATTTGAGGGTGGGCTGATTTGGTATTATCACATGCAGAAAATCAGCAAGATAACATGAATAATGGTCGAAAAAGATCAGTAGGCATGGACTAATAGCGAATTCGTTTATTATCGGGGTTGGAACCAGTTCCAACCCGTGCGAACCCGAACTTTTTGTCAGTGCGAACCTCGACCCGTGCCAGGTTTTAAAAACAAACGATCAAACTGACGTTTGCTAGAAAACAAGCAGACCCAATCTTGATACCCGATCCAGGTTGGAACTGAATAATAAACGAATTCGCTATAAGTCGCTCTTCGACAAAGGGACATGTGCACAATTATGGACAATTTTCACATTTTTGCATTTTGAAATTCAGCGCAACAGCACCCCTCGTAACTCGAATTTTAAGCATTTTTCTGAAATTTGTGCCATCGATCCATTTTTCAAACTGACTTGGCACAAACCATTTGAAGTTTATATGGGAATTACTATGGGAAAACAAAACTTTTTGTTCGTTGTCTTCTAGCCTTTTTGCATATTGTACTGTTAACAAATTCTATTGTTATTCTTATAGGAATTTTAATCAGCTACAACTTTGCAGAAAATTGTTTTTCAGCCAAACGTCTAATTAAATAGTTATTAATTGTTTAAGAGATTGATCATCCTATGGCAAATTAAGCAACTGTACTGTGGGCAGCACTCCCAAGTAACATTTTAAGTTTTATGAAATACCACAAAGCAACTATAAAACAACATTCATAAAACCTTGGTCAAGGCTGTTTTGCCGTTAATCTTCTTCTTCTTCCTCGCATTTCAAGCTTATTGCGTATGGCATATTAGCTTATTGCGTGCTCTCAACTTAGTGTTCTAGATTGCACTTCCACAGTTATTAATTGAGAGCTTTCGATGCCTGTACCATTTTTGCATTAGTATAATTGTGTGGCAAGTACAATCATACTCTATGCCCAGGGAAGTCGAAAAACTTTCCAACCCGAAAAATTCCTAGACCGGACCGGGAATCGAACCCAGCCACCTCCAGCATGGTCTTGCTTTGTAGCTGTGCCTTTACCGACTGAGCTAAGGGAGGTCCCAATTGCCGTTAATGCATCCACCAAAACCTCATTAAGACTAGAATATGTCTAGTTGGCCCAACCTGGAGAAGGTTCTGAAGGGTGTATTCTCGAAGCTCTTCAGGATTAATTTACTGCAAAGGGTTGTATGACGAACACATTGAGAACCATTTGAAAGCTACAACAAAAGCTATTTTTTAGCAACAATAAAAACTCTTTCTGAGCCATTTCCCCTAGCCGCTTGCTTCATCCACTAGGAAATCATCAATCAAGATCGAAAAGGATTTATGAATCCGATCTTATCAAAATAATTAAAATAGAAACTGAAGGTATAAAAATCTTGTTGAATATCCAAATTTATAACATTAGTTCACTTTAAGTGGTCTTGTATTAAAGGGTGATGGTCAAAATTTGGTCAAGGGAAAACGCGTGTAAATCGGTGAAATTTTTTGGTCTTCTTTAGGTTCCGCTTGACAATAGCCCAGTATTTCTCAATTGGGCGGAGCTCTGGCGTGTTGGGAGGGTTCTTGTCCTTGGGAACCACCTGCACGTTGTTGGCGGCGTACCACTCCATGGCCTTTTTACCGTAATGGCAAGATGCCAAATCCGGCCAAAACAGTACGGAACAACCGTGTTTCTTCAGGAAAGGCAGCAGACGTTTATTCAAACACTCTTTCACGTAAATTTCTTGGTTGACAGTCCCGGAAGCTATGAAAATGCTGCTTTTCAAGCCACAGGTACAGATGGCTTGCCAAACCAGATATTTCTTTGCGAACTTTGACAGTTTCATGTGCTTGAAAACATCTGCTACCTTTCCCCTTCCTTTTGTCGTATAAAACTCCTGTCCCGGAAGCTGCTTGTAGTCGGCTTTGACGTAGGTTTCGTCGTCCATTACCGCGCAGTCAAACTTCGTCAGCATCGTCGTGTACAGCCTCCGGGATCGCGCTTTGGCCGTCGTATTTTGTTTATCATCGCGATTTGGAGTCACTACCTTCTTGTAAGTCGATAGTCCGGCTCGTTTTTTGGCTCGATGCACGGTTGTAGACGATACACCCAGCTTATTTGCGGCATTTCGGAGAGAGAGGTTAGGGTTTCGCTTGAAACTACCGGCAACTCTCTTTGTCGTCTCAGCGGCTTCCGGTTTTCGATTTCCCCCCGATCCAGACTTCCTGGCTGTCGACAAACGTTCCCCAAACACTTTAATTACATTTGGCAACTTTTAGCGATTTTGCCAACTTTGCGTGCGAGTAGCTCGGATTTTCGCGATGCGCGAGCAAAATTTTGATACGCTGCTCTTCTTGCTTGGACGGCATTTTGACAACTGAAGAGTGAATTCCAAAATCAAAATAGGAGCAACATTCTACACACACACACCTTCAAAATGAGGGGTGTTCAGGTTTTTTAAATGCAAAATTGAAAGAAATACGTCAAGTTGATATTGACCAAATTTTGACCGTATCACCCTTTATATGGCAGAATGTCCAAGTTTTTCTGTAACCGGAAGCCGCCATCTTGGATTTCAAGATGACGTCAAACATAGATTTCATAGATGACGTCAGACATGGGTTTCTGGTTCCTACATCTCACTCCGATTCCAAAGATACCCATATTGTGGGATATTTCATAGTTTTTCCCAGATTCCCATATTCGCAAAAAAAAACTCGTTATTTGGAATTTACTTCGTTAAAAGAGGGACGTAAATTGAAACCTGCGTAAAAAAAAGACATCGTTTTTTTTTTTTTTTTTTTTTTCTTTCTTTATTTAGGAGATTTTTAGCCGTAGGCTGGTTCATCTCCGAGCGAAAAAGACTTCGTTAACGGAGGTTTCAGTGTACTGGGTTTTTGAATTGCTGAAAAACTCGGTAAAATTCAAATGACCGTTATCCGTAAGGAATCCATGAAAACAACCAACTTTATTTTCTATCATTAAATGGGGTTAACGAAACTAAGTATGTACAAGTTCAGAACAAATTTTCTCATTAATAAATTTTCCACAGATTTTTAAACTTTTACCGAACAGATCCGCAAACCAAAACTCAGTATAACCGTACTGACTCGATTAGTGTGTAACATGGCGGTGGCATACAAGTTGATTTTCATGGGTCATTTGTGAAAAAGTTGTTTTGCTTTCAAGAAATCCTTAACAAATTCATAAGGTTTTAAAATGGTTTTTATGAAGAAAACTTGCAGGCTGAACTGTATTTATCTAAAGCCATTTTGCTTGATCAGATTTATGGCAGCATTTATGGAGGCAAACTTGCCTGCAAAAAGTTTGTTTATCTTTCGATAGTTGCGATGTGGGATCCTGGGTTCTTCCAGGCGGTTTTCTCCTGATGGATTGGGAGCAGTTACTCAGATAGTTTGCGATACTGTTTTACAACATATCGCATTTCGAACAGATGGGAGCGCAATCGTTCCCGAAAAAGATCCCTTCCTTCCGGATGGTTACAAAAGTGCACTATCCAACGATGCAGCGATATACGCCTGAATTAAATTTTTGAAAGGTTTGATTGTTTTGCCGAATAAAATCGCTAAAATGGATCGGAAACCAGCTAATCTCCGCTAACTAACAGTTTCAGTGGTTGTTATTTCAATTGTCATCTATTCGCAAGATTTGGAGAAGGCTGGTATGTTTTTAAACTTTCGGAAATGTTTTATGAATTCGAGGGCCACGCTCACTTTACTCTTCTCCGCCAGATGGTTAGTCGGTGATGGTGTGCTGGTTCTTATAATGAAGGAAATTTTGCTGAAATCGACTTGAATTTT